TTACATGTAGGCTATTGCAAAATACATAATGATTTGAGGACCAAGTTTGTAGTCAAAGTATGGGCAGGCCATAGTCAATGTAAAGCATATTATTGACGTTTAGTCCCTATTAGTGAATGTGCCATATAACTTTTTATCCGCTGTTATCGGTGGCCCTGTTTACTAGCCTGCGCGTTCACGACAGGCTCCGCTGTGGAGGACGAGCTGTGGAGGGAGGGCTGTAGCGCAGCAGAGAGCAAGGGGGTTGGACCTGTAAGTTGTGCTTGTTCAAATTTTCAGGCTAAGTCAACGTTTTCTCAAAACTCCCTACTGAAGCTTTAAGAACGGACCTTATTAAACGTTATCAAAGAAAAGTTTTATTACTCAGCAGCCATCTCACCTCCAGTGGTGATCTGATTGCCCCATCCAGAAACTAAGCACTGATCCCCTTCAGAAGAGCAATTGGTTGCCAGAGGGATTGGCTTCACATACTGGTTGAAGATGGCAGGCTCTTTCAGCTTGATCAGCATGAAATCATTGTTCAACGTAGAGTCATTATAGTCCGGGTGAGGAATCACTTTCTCTGCCCCGATCCGCTGCTCTGTGCCTTCTTCAATGGAGACATTGTGCTTTCCCAGGTGGACAGTAAGACGAGAAGCTCTATTTGACAAAAAAACTCATATATTACTGGGCTCTAATACAACTTTTATCAGCGATATTGCCTACCTACATATTATGTCTATGGATAGTCTCAAATGTTTGGTTAATGTACTCTCATCTTTATTTTAGAATTGAATGTGTAACTTTTTTAACAGCCTTTGGTTTAAAAATTCTGTATCTGTCAATCATCATTTTCAGTGTATTCACAATACACGTGTTAACATGCAACTGATATTAGTCCTTTTTAAAAAGTTGCTCGGGAAAAAGGAGATTGATGAGGTTTAACATAAATATAGCCTATGATATACTCACGAAACGTAGCAGTGAGCAGCAGAAACAACCCATCTTTCATTAATCACAGATGCTCCACACCAGCGTCCCCCATTATCGTAAGTAAGGTAGACTTGCCAGGGCTGGGAGTGGGGTGGACATTCATAACCTCCAATGATCAACATACCTGTGCAACAAGCTGAAAAAAAAAAGAGAGATTTGTTTAAAAAATACATGTGTAATTTTTCAAAAGGTTCATGCTTCTGATATTTGTGTCTGTAATTTTTACCATTTAATAAAAATCAGTTAACATGTATGTATCAGTAACATATTATATTAAGGTTTAAGATAGGCAGGACAGTGTAAAACATTGAAAATAATAATTAAGAAGAGATATCTACATACCCACAGCCACTGCCAGCAAAGCAAACATAATAGTCTTCATTGTAGTAGAGGAAAGAAGTGCTCACATTCAGACAAATGAAAGATCCTGCAAATTTCAGAAACAGCATTAATGTTTTAAAGTGATAATGCAGGAAACACAAAATCAAAGGAAAACATCATTTAAATACAAAATGATAATAATAATAATTTAAAGACATCTAATTGTCTTGAGTGTCATCAAGACTGACTTTGGTCACTGAAACATTTAGTTATTATTATACAAATAAATCATAAAAAAGGAAAACTGCCACGCCTTCACAATACATCACTAAGCTGTGCACAATATGTACACAACCCAACCAATACTACACAATGAGAAAGCAAATACTTACAGTATTAATCTCAGGTGTTAACAAATACCTTGCAATATCTTTCAGTCAGCCGAATCTTCAATGACCTTGTCCAAATGTGTGAATGAGCATACAAAATCTTCTCCACTTCCATGGCTTATATAATGCACATGAAGCCCAGACTCCCACTTTCAAAAACCTCCCAGGCCCCCTTAAATTCCTGTTCTTGCAAATTATTGAAATGCTCTTGTTCTTCATCTGATGACTTGGAGTCACTAGTCAGATGATTCCCTATCAGATGAAGATGAGTTATAGTTGTCATCCTCACCACCAATTATCTCTGGATCCTTTTTCCATTCTCTCCTCTTTATCAAAATCATTAATTGCCCCCCAAATATTTTTTTTTCATAACTAATACTTGATTATTTCCCTTAAACATGTGTCCCCAATGAGAACACCTTCTCCATGTTCCCCCCATAGCAATACGTTTTTTTTAGGATTTCCAAGTTGTGTGAAGCAAAAAACATATTTCTGACTGCATATACCAACAATTTTTGGTTCCCAGAATAGACAACCTAGAATTCCCTGTTGATTAGCCAGAAAAAAGGCGTCCAATAGATTTCTTAGGCGCGCCGAAAAATATGATACAACGCTGTTTTACCAGATGAGAAGTTTATCTATCATATTTTACTCTTTTAAATCATTTTATAACTGTATCGGATATCGCTTTTAATTCCTTTTATAACTGTTTTAATTTTCCTTGCTTTTATTTTGTGATTATTTTAATTAATTTCTGTGTAAATCACTTTGAATTGCCGTAGTGTATGAAACGTGCTATATAAATAAACTTGCCTTGCCTTGCCTATAGGTTTGAGGAACATCTATTTTGATATCCTGTAACCTGCTGCATGTCAATAGTCAGTCTTTGTTCCATTGTTGAATTAATGATTAAAATAATCCAATCACACAAGCATCCATACGTGGAGGATTACATGAATATATTGAATGTAAACAATTCATTTTAGTGACACTTTGATGTAGTAACATTGTACTTACTCATAAGTACTGAGTAATATTAATTAAATATTTACTTATTATAGAATTATGGTTAGGGTGAGTGTTTGGTTTAGGGTACTTGCAATTATTTATGATTTACTGTTATTGCTATAGTAAGTACACGTAGTAACATGTAACTACGTCATCTTAAAATAAAGTGTTAAATGAATTTTTCCTATTGATATTTAAATATTAAATTTATGTTTGATTAAGAGCTATTTTACTTTTTTGAGTGAAGCACAACTTCAGACAGTGAACATTTTTATTAGATATTTTTGTTTAACTATTCAATCACTACAAGAAAAATTCTCTAATTAATAGTTAGCTATAGTTTAAAGCAGCCATAAAAGTCAATGTGTCATCAAAGCACATTACATAATTACACAAAAGGAAAGCATGGCGAATATGTCATCACGATACATCACTAGATATTGCAATGCATGATGTGTTGCATGTTAGGCATGTGATGTCTAAAAATAAGCATTTATCAAACTTCCCCTCTTGCATGCTTCATTCATCGATGAAGACTCCCCAATGAAATGACACTCCCAATCAGAATCAGAGCCACTAGTGTCAGGTGAATCACTCTCAGATGAGTTGTTCCAATTGCATCAGTTACACTGCAGAGATCTAATGACATTTAAAAGGAATAATACACATTTACAACTTTTAAGTGCAGAATCACTGTTTTGTTTAGAGGAGATTTGTAATATTGCTCTAATTTCACCAGCCATGTTTTCTTTCCCTCTACAATTTCAGTAAAAAAGTGGAATTTAAAAGTTTTTTTTCCTTTAAAACACTTTGTTACACTTACAATCATAGGTAAAGAGAAAAGTAGTTTAATGACATACTGAAACCATGTATGTTCTCTGTGTTTAGCAAAAAAGAAAACAAAAGATTGAAATGTTCAACATGCAGCAGATGCTTTCCTCACTGAATAAACAAACAAACCCCAAAGGTCACATTTCTTTCTTTCTTTCTAATTAAAAATAAATAAATACTGTAAATACATTTTTAATAGACCTTTGGGTGTGGTCATTCATTCATTGTCCGTAGAAACTCTGCTGGGGACTTTTCTTAAATCCACACTATGGGTTTTTAAGGTTTACCTTTTATGAACATCTCGACCGATTGGTTGAGGTCAGTATCTTAGACTTCAATAATCTGTTATTTCACCCACTCACCGGCCACTTTATGTAGACCGTACCGGGTTGGACCCCCTTTTGCCTTCTTCATGGCATAGATTCAACAAGGTCTGGAAACATTCCTCAGAGATTTTGGCCCATATTGACATGATAGCATCGCGCAGTTGCTGCAGATTTGTCGGCTGTACATCCATGTTGTGAATCTCCCGTTCCAGCGCATCCCAAAGGCCATTTGAGAACAGTGAACTCACTGTCTTGTTCAAGAAACCAGTTTGAGATGATTTGAGCTTTGTTACATGGCGCATTATCATGCTGGAAGTAGCCATCAGAAGATGGGCACACTGTGGTCATAAAGGGATGCACATGGTCCGCAACAATAGGTAGGCTCAGCTGTGGCATTTAACAATGCTCAATTGATACTAAAGGGCCAAGTGTGCAAGGAAATACTCCAAAACCATTACACCACCACCAGCAGCCTGAACCGTTGATACAAGGCAGTATGGATCCATGCTTTTATGTTGTTTACACCAAATTCTGACTACCATCTGTTTGTTGTTGGTTTTTTTCTTACATGTGAACCGACTATTTTTTATTATTAAAGAATTTAAACTCAAATCAATATCATGTCCATGTGTGAACAGCCATGTAATAAGGTAATGTACAATTATTCAGCCATTATCTCAAAATGTATGCATTTTTCCCATTATTTTGCAATAATGACCAGTATGTTATCCCTTACTTTTCTCTTTATTGTCTCTTTAAATTCCCCTGATGATGGTCAGCAAGATTTCTGATATCACAAGTTTGTGATTGTGAACACAAAGAATAGTGATATGACTCCCCCTTTTTGGGGGCTAAGAGCAACCTTGGCTAAGAAAACTTAAAATACTATATCCATATAAAACGAATGGACAGAAACACTTATTTGTTCCAAGCTGAATTTAACCACAGATATTTCAGAATCTTTTTAAATTTGAATTAAAAGGTCCAACTCGGCTGAACAAACAGTTAGTTGTTAGCAATGGTGGACTTGACCCATGCAGTCAGTGTTAGTATAAAATGACAATGGGCCAGACAAATAGCAGGCAAACATGCAAGTTTAAGGGCACATATATATCTACATATATACAAATGAGCATTTGAATACTTCAGATTAAATTGAGACATACAGTAATGGCACACTCGCAGGCGGCCCACATCCTGTGATAGCATTCAATACAATCAGTCAAAATGTTCATTCACATGCTACAGGGCCTAGGTGCAAAACAGAAGTGTTTCTAGAGAGTCCCCGTGGAGCGCTTGAGGACTAATGGAGCAATGCTGGAAAAAGAGCAAGGATCATTCTGCACTTCATGCTGCGCTCTAGATGACATTCTCAAACAGCTGCATGGAGCTCATAATGTTCTCGTCCTAGCAAAGGAGAAAAAGCGTCAGTCGCAGATTGTTGCTGACAGCTTCATGTTAGAAAGAGTTTAGAAAATGTCTAGCTGTCAGTGAGAGCCTCCGTATCAACATAGATCTAATGTTGACATTTATCTGACATTAACTCTGATGCTTCAGTCAAAGCATGGTGAGGAACCGCAGATACTTCTAGACAGGACATGAAAACATGAGTCATAAAATTTTTTTTTTTTTTTTTTTTTACTTACTGTATAATGTTAGTCCTGATTGTTTTGCCAGAACAACTCAAAATTTAGTATTTCATGACCATTTTCCATCCTCTTATTAAACAGTCTGTTTATTATTATTTTTTCTATTGGGCAAAATGATATTATATAAAAGAATATAATTTAATTAATATCAATGAGCCAAGCTGATTTATAATGTGGGTGTTCCTATGGTAATAATTCAAATTAAAGTACAAGCTGTTTTTGTAGCTTGGTTTTCGCCGAATTTCCTTAAGAATATAATAACAAACTATCAAATATGGTGCTCTTTTGTCATTTTTGACCAAAACATTTACATTTTTTACTTAATCAGAATGGTAAAAAAATTGGTAAATGTTTTGGCACTTGCTTCATGAACACACACAAAAAATCATGGACATGATTCAAAAAGGTTGGGACTGCAAAAAAAGTCACTTGAACTTCTCGTGGTAGAAATGACCGCAATGGAAATGAATGGGAAACAAATTTTATCTAGTAATGAACAAACAAAATATTACTGAAAGCTCATTTTTTGAGATTTGTTTAGATTTATGGGTTTGATTTTCCTTGCAATTTTAGAGGAAAACGTGTTTTGTAAAAAATATATTTCATTTAAGAATTAAAAATATTATTTTTGTGCATTTTTTATAACAATAAACTTAAACTTCTATAACTTGTATTATTATTTTTTAAATACAACTTTTTTTCACTTATAAATAATCACAATAATCTGCCAAATGTCTTCTTTAAAAGGAGACCCAAACTTAAGTGCTCCAAAGTATTTAAAGGGGTCAACGGATGCAAAATTCACTTTTATATGTTTTCAGTGTGTGGACACAACCACCATACAATGAAAAAAATCCATTCACTCCTTTTTTTTTAATCCTCAAAAAGTCTAAACACACTCAATAATCAGGCGTTTAGATTTTCTGAGCACTATGATGTCATAATGCTAATGCTCCGCCGCCCATGACCACTCGGGGACTGTCCCGTATTAGCATATTTCTGCCCTCAGCCATTCGTAAAGAGACATGCAACAGGTAAAAAGGGTGTTGTTTTACACAACCATTGAGGAATTTTAACCAAAGTATATTACAAACTTTACATGAACAGTGTTCAGTCGCAGATTGTTGCTGACAGCTTCATGTTAGAAAGAGTTTAGAAAACGTCTGGCTGTCAGTGAGAGCCTCCGTATCAACATAGATCAGTCTAATGTTGACATTTATCTGACATTAACTCTGATGCTTCAGTCAAAGCATGGTGAGGAACCGCAGATACTTCTAGACAGGACATGAAAACATGAGTCATATAACATCACTGCAAAGACACATTTATATGCAAACATATAAAAGTGAATTTTGCATCCGTTGACCCCTTTAAATACTTTGGAGCACTTAAGTTTGGGTCTCCTTTTAAAGAAGACATTTGGCAGATTATCGTGATTATTTATAAGTGAAAAAAAGTTGTATTTAAAAAAATAATAATACAAGTTATAGAAGTTTAAGTTTGATTCTTTAGAGTGTTCATTGAACACTCTAAAGAATCAAACCAACTTCCGATGACCCCTTTAAGATTTTTGACAGTTTAAGTTGGAAATTTCATTTTCAGCTCTACACTCAAAAAGTGGTTAACAGGTAATATATGGATTGTAACGACTCCATAAATATAATTTAGTACCATAAAATCCCCAACAAAATACAAAATATTAAATAAAAAACATTATTGAACTAAAATATAGTACGCTAATTTCACTGAAATAATAATTAAAATATTTGCTCATTTTTGACCGCCACGCGAGGATCAGCAGAGGGTCAAAGATGAATAATATCAAAATATAAAACCAAGTGGCATGCTTTTGTAAAAAAAAACAAAAAAAACAATTATTATTATTACTATGCATGTCGAGGAGCGTCACTTAGAGAGAAAGGCCATGAAAATGATGATTTAAAGGGTTCATATCATATATATATTTTTAAATTCCCTCTAAGGTTCTCTTACTGTATAATGTTAGTCCAGATTTTTGTGGCAAAACAATTCAGAGTGTAGTATTTCATGACCAGTATCCATCATAAACACTTGGACTGCTGATTTACAAATGTGAGCATCCCTATGTTAACTATTTCATAAGTGTTTCCGAATTAGCTGTTTTTGTAGCTTGGTTTTCGATAAATGTCCTTTTTTGGACTGGGGAGGAAGTTAAGCTCTGCAAGTTAAAGTATATTTTTCAAACAATAAACTCTTCCACTTCAATAGATTAAAAAAAAAGTTTGATTTCTTATGATATGACCCCTTTTAAACCTGGCCTACCTTCTGACAGGTCTCTATGAACTCATCAATGGTTACAACTCCGTCTCTGTTCCGGTCCATTTTCTGTGAAGCAACGGTGTTTTGAGAGTTTGGTCAAGCAGATGACCATTGCTGGCTGAAATAACTTTCCATGGGACTGCTAAAAGTTGGGTACCTGGAAGAATTTCTCCACGTGTTCAAATGCAGCATCATCTTTGACACTAGGAGAGGTGTGCCTGCCCATCATGTCATAGATGGACTTCATGATAGCCTGCATTTCCTGTAGAAAGTGCAGTAACAATAGCAAACACATATTTGTACTAAAGAAACAATGTGCAGTCTGTTAACACTTGCCTTTCATACCTCTCTGGTGATGTAGCCGTCTTTATTAATGTCATAGAGGTTAAAGGCCCACCTCAGTTTCTCTGTCACAGAACCTCGAAGCAGAACAGACAGGCCGATTACAAAGTCCTGCCAAAACACACGTTTAAAAATAATTCAATTAAATATTCTCAGTTGTGTTGGTCTGTCAGACTAACACTTGTGTTCTGTTGAGAACATAAGTAAAATGATATTAGCAATTCTGAAATTAATATTTTTTGTTCCTCTGGCCTAATCAAGATATATAGTAAGTAAGTAAGTAGACTTTATTAATCCCATACTGGGGAAATTCAGGCTGATATATTATATAATGATATAATAATATAGGCAGATATTATTGTTCATCTTCTGATGTACATGAATAGAAACATTTAAGTTGAATGCAGTTGTATTACAGAGCTGAAGTCTTTCAAATGACAAATAATTTTGTTTTAATAATATTTAAGCATTTAACAATGTTCCTAACCTCAAAACGTATAGAGCCGTTTCGGTCCATGTCAAAAGCATTGAAGAGGAAATGTGCATATGTGGTGGCATCTGAAAAAAAAAAGAATGATTAACTATATTTCTGCATAAATATTCGGATTTTAACTTCACAAAGTTTCAACACCTACATATTCTTTATTATAACTTTTCCACATTTTAGAAAAATTGTAAAGTCACCAACTATTAAAAAAATGTACAATAAATAAATAAAAATGGTGATTAATACTATTAATAATATAACTGTTTAAAACCTATTTTTGATAAAACACAATTGAAAAAAATAATTAATGAATAGATTAAAATAAATAAAATGCTAATTCATTCTATTAATATTCTAACTAACTAACTAATATATATATATATATATATATATATATATATATATATATATATATATATATATATTATTTCACTCAGTCATCAAATTGTATTTAAACAATGTAAAATATATTTGAATTAAAAAAATAAGTTAATGAATCAGTTAATGAATTAATAAATACATAAATGCTGATTAATACTAATACAATTTTATATGATATATTTTTAAATTTGTGTCATATTCATATTGGGTGAATTCACTTATTACTTCACTTGTTTGCTTATTAAGATTACATCCACATAATCAAACCAGAGTTGAAAATGCAACAATCACCCTACCTCCTTGAGGGAAGAACTGGGAATAGATCGATTTAAACGTCTCCTCATCCACCAATCCGCTGGGACACTCCTATTTAGAAACATGACAAGAATTTAAGGATACTTTGCAACAAACTTAAAGGAATAGTTCACCCTGAAATGAAAATAAAGTTATCATTTACTCACCCTGGTGTTGTTCTAATGCAGTATGCCCTTCTTTCTTTTTTGGACCACAAAAGGAGAATTAAAAATGTTTTGCTCGCGCTCATCCATATAAATGAACAGTGATTACCATCAAGCTTTTAATAATAAGATGCGAAAATATCACAGAATGGTCCCATGCACCATATATACCATTTGTTCTGGTGCTATACGATAGGGTTTGGTTGAAAAACAAACCGAAATTTGATGTATTATTTAACGAAAATCCTAACCTTGGCGGTTGGCACAGTTCACTCAAACTTACCCAGAAGTAGTAAGAAATCAAGATGAACAAAAAAATGACATGAAATACAATCCATGCCCCGTCCGTTGTGTTCGTCACTACAAACATTTATCGTGTTCGCATCTGTCAACTGTCCTTCTGATCAGACAAACAGTTCCAGCCCAGAGATATTCAACTCAGGGAAGAAAGTACACAGATACTTTTTGGGGATTTCTAGGCATTGTATTTCAAGTCGCTTTTAGGTTCATCTTGATTTCTTGATTTAAAGTAAATGATGACTTAATTTTCATTTTAGGGTGAACTATCTCTTTAAGCTTCTTAAGCAGTCTTACGTTTTTGAAGCCTCTGTAAAGCGACTGCAGCTCCTTCCTAGTGAACTTGGTCTGAGCCTGGAGCTGCTCCAGGCCCTCTGGCTGATGTCGGACCATGGACAACTCCAGATCACTTTCAACGGTGTCTGTCAGAGAGAGAGCATGAGGAAGAGGAGGTGAGGGATTGATATCAGTTGGGTTGCACTGAGGGGAGGACAGTAAAGAACTAAACAGGTAAAGCGTGGAGTGCAGGTGAAAGGACAGCCACATATTTGGGGTTTAAAAGAAGAAGACAGAAATGTGCCGCATTTACAGTACATGGTTCAAGTGACTCAATTCAGATTTTTTCCTCCCATGTGTCATAGGTTGGATATGACCCTCGAACGTCTAAGCATGAAAAAAAAAGCACATGGATTCCAATATTCTCAGAACGGTTTCAGGCCTCATTCACATGTGGAAATAAATCTGATATGAATCGGATACGTGCATTTGTGTTTGCCATGTAAGCGGACAGATTGGATATAAAGCGACGGTTGCGAATGACGTCAACTCAGGTGGACACTAAACGTGATCACATGACTCTTTTCAATGGCACAATAGAGGAAGGCTCAGGCGAATGTTTTGCTGACCTTTAAAGATGTTGCGGAAAGCAAAAGCTTGTATTGTCATTTCGTCTGCGTCCATTGCAAATCACGCCTTTTTTTTCGTCGTTGTCTGCCTACGTTTTTCTGGGTCAGTATGTCTACCTTGGGTTGTTTCACCAAATGTATAGTGTTAAATGCAGATGTCGGATATGGGTCACTTTTAAAAGAAGATGCAAGCTGGTCATCAAAAAAAAAAAAAAAAACTGATTTAGTCAACAAATCGAAATTGGGCATCAATACCTGCAGTGTAAATGCGGCCATAGACACTGTAAACCACAGAAGAGGAGCTGTTGGGGAGACAGACGGGGCAGAACGGGAGACCAGGAGGGATCAATATCAGCGATTCTCTACTGGTTTTGCTTCAGGGCCCAGATTTGTAATTGGACATCGAGTGGGGAACAAAAATTGTTTAGCACAAATTAAAACAAAAATGTCCTTAAAATGAAACACTGAAATGCATCACCCTTTAACATTATTACGGAAAAAAATACTTTACATTCAGTTTGCACTTAAAGGGATAGTTCACCCAAAAATGAAAATTCTCTCAGTAATTACTCACCCTCATGTTGTTCCAACCCCGTAAGACTTTCGTTCATCTTCGGAACACAAATTAAGATATTTTTGATTAAATCTGAGAGCTGGATCACTCCTCCATAGGCTTCTAAAGGGATCGAAACTGGCCGGCCCAAAAGTTATGAAAGACATTGTTAAAATAGTCCGAGTGACTACACTGGCTCAATCTTAAGTTTATCAAGCGACGAGAATACTTTTTGTGCTCAAAAAACAAACAAAAATAACGACTTTATTCAACTACTCATTTCCTTCCCTGTGGGCCGTGATATTTCACCTAGTGATATTGCGCAAAGCTTCTGTGTTGCACGTCACACGTAGGCTCACTATTGGCCGACGCTGGTCATGTGTGTGATGCGTGACGTAGAACCTAGAAGCTTTACGTAGTTTCACTACGTGAAATGTCGAGGCCCACAGAGAAGGAAATAGTTGAATAAAGTAGTTTTTTTTTTTTTTTTTCGCACAAAAAGTATTCTCGTCGCTTGATAAACTTAAGATTGAGCCAGTGTAGTCACTCGGACTACTTTAACGATGTCTTTCATAACTTTTGGGCCAGCCAGTTTCGATCCCTTAAGAAGCCTATGGAGGAGTGATCCAGCTCTCAGATTTAATCAAAAATATCTTAATTTGTGTTCCGAAGATGAACGAAAGTCTTACGGGGTTGGAACAACATGAGGGTGAGTAATTACTGACAGAATATTCATTTTTGGGTGAACTATCCCTTTAAGTATATTCTATGTGTACATTCATTGTGTGTAATGTTTTCGACACTTAACTGCATGCTAAATAAAACTAAACAAACATGATTATAGTTTGAATCTATATTAAATGCATTAAACTTTAAGTTCAGCTCACTTTAGGGCACTTTTCTTGACCCAGTAAGTACTTTACATCCTTCTTTGTGATTTCACTATTACTGTCTTTTGTTTTTTAAATATGGTTAGAGTACTGCCAAATACTGACAATTATGTATGGCAAACTAAAATATGATTTAATGTCATTTCTACTGAAAATTATATTTGATTTAAATTGTATTTAAATAATTAATTACACATTTGTAATGATTAAGTCAATTTAGTACATTTAAAATACATTAACTTGTGTAATATTGAATAACACATTACAGTTAAAATTATAAACAAGTACTTTGACGTGTTGACTAACATACTAAAGCACATGTAAAGTGTCCTTCTTTAAAGCATGACAAATGATTATTAAAACATAATGATTTAAAATTCACTTTAAGGTAAAACCTTTAATTTGACATTACAAAGTGCACTTCCTAAAAGTGTACTCAAGTGTGCTAATAAACTAATAAAAGTGTGCTCTCTTTAAGTACACTTTAGAGACCTTTTATATAATTACTATATTATCTGCAAGTACAGTTTAAAAAAAAAATACATTTAAGATTTGAAGTACATTCAAGTGCACATCCAATACAATTGCATGCACACATATTTTTCGCAAGGGTAATAATGAACTGCATAGGCCCAAACAGTATAAAAACGATTAACATGACTCAAGATTCACAAGATTACAAAAGAACATTTTTTTTGTAAATGCACAAATAACCGCAGTTGTATGATTCACCCATATCGCTTTTTTTATCTTTAGTTTTGTTCATGGTGTCTGAGGATGAGGTCTTGTAACACAACCTGCACATGTTGGAATTTGGCTTTTATCAAGTGACAGATGATTTTTTGCAGAAATAAGTATGTTTTTTTTGCATTTGCATTTCAGCATTAGCATTGTTTTCCCACATCCTTTGTTAGAACAAATCTGCAACCCACCAGTTGAGAACCGCTGATCTATTTGACATTTACTCACCATCTATGAGACAAGAACAAAGAAGATAGGGAAGAGATTTAGAGAGGAAATAAAGAGAAAGCAATGGAAAAACAACACATTAGTTGGATTGTACCAAAACTGCATGACATTAAATGAATGTATTTCCTCATACTATGAATTTAGCTGTCATGTTCTTCTCGGTTAATGTGCAGTTAGTTGTTCAATCTGTCAAAAAGGACTTTTCCAGTTTCAGATTTAGAAGTGTCCACATGCATAACATTTTTTAGGTTATCTGACCAAAGAAATGTTGTTTACAGACTAAAGCTGATGCAAATAGAACATTGATAAGACTAGCAACATATGAGCAGAAGAAAAGTTTTATCAGTTAACAAAAAAAGTGTTTTTCATATTATTCAAGTCAAAAATATGACGGTTTCAACCTACAGTACAACTACCATTCAAAATTTTTGTGTAATTAAGATTTTTTTTCCTGAAAGAAATTATTCAGCAAGGGTGCATTTAATTGACCAAAAGTGACAGTAAATATATTTATAACATTAGAATCACAAAGAATATGAAGCAGCACAACTGTTTTCAACATTGATAATCATAAGAAACGTTTCTTGCGCATCAAATCAGCATATTAGAATGATTTCTGAAGGATCATGTGACACTGAGTAATGATGTTGAAAATTCAGCTTTGACATCGCAGGAATAAATGACATTTTAAAATATATTATAATAGAAAAAAAAGAGTTAAACTGTAATAATATTTCACAATATTACTGCTTTTACTGTTTTTTTGATCAAATAAATGCAGCCTTGGATAGAATAAGACAGTTCTTTCATCATATAAAAAAAAACACAACTTACCAACCCCAAACTTTTGAATGTTAGAGTACACTTGTTACACCAATGCAATTCATTTGAAATATTCTGGTCAGGTATAAATAGCTCCTACTACACATTTACCCTTTTTTTTTTTCAGTGAACTAGGGCCAACATCAAAACCATACGGTGGTTCTTACCATCCAGCAGTGGATCCGTGGCCCCGAACTGTTTGAGCACCATTATAAACATAAGCAGCACTACAGCAACTGCAAACAGCTCCATGCCCTGAATAACCATTGCAACTGCGATTAGCTATGCGATTCCTTTAAGAAAATGAACAGAGGTCAAGAGGTCATGCTAGATGCCAATTGAACGATTTTAGGAAAAGCAACTCATCTGGTTTGATCAATGTTTCTTCAAACTACTTTGCTGCAACAAGTTCTTAAAGACTCCATTCCCGGAACAATTCTGAATTCCAGTAGACTCGCAGGTAATCACTGATGCACTAAGCTGTAAACAAACCACAAATGCAAACCGTACAGTCATGCCTGCACTACGGATCCTTTCAAATGATATCCTTTTAAAATAAAAGCAGATTAAAGTCACTATGTTAGAAATTCCTCCACAACAACATCAACCGTATGGAAACCTCCTGCGGCTTTGGTCTCCACGGACTAGTGTGTCATGGTCCTCCTCGGACATTATACTCCTCATGGAGTACCGAAAGAGTCTGATCTCTAGACACAGACACTCCCTCTTCTCTCTCCATCTCTCTAGCAATAATGCACAATGATGAGCCAGCCATAATGTGAGTATGTTTACAAGCAGTTGAACTTGTGAATCATTCATTCACTTACATGACATAAAAATACAGAATTGAATCACAATAGACCTGGGCATACAAGAGGGGTGTCTTATTTTTGTAAAATGTGTTTAAAAGGGGGGGTTTGTATTGTGATAATGACAGGATGACTGTACATCCTCGCACTTATTGCATGGCTACTTGCCAAATAAATAAATAAATAAAAAGAAATGTGATAAAGCAGTATGAAATATTGATTTTAGCTGGACTTATTTTACCACGTGAGAAGATAGAGACCACACAGTAATACGAGATACATGATGCTAGTACAAACATATAGGGAAATTGGTTCTTTAGTGAGAAACTGACAGTTTAGTGGACATTACACATAAATACCTGACCACAGAAACAGAATGCAGTAAATGACCTTTCAAAATCAAGTATTCCAAAGCGCCATATAATGTTTGATAGTTATTATGAAGTTGTAAAAGTTTGTCTAAAATGGAGACGCCTAAAGTAAAAAGTAATTATAAAATAGTACGATTTAAATAAAACTAAAATTATGGTAAGTAAATAAATAAAAGTAAACAGACAGACAGACAAATAGAGAGAGAGATAGATAGACAGACAGACAGACAGATAGAGTCAGACTGATAAATAGATAGATAGATAGACAGAGTCAGACTGATAAATAGATAGATAGATAGATAGATAGATAGACAGAATCAGACTGATAAATAGATAGATAGATAGATAGACAGAGTCAGACTGATAAACAGATAGAGAGAGAGATAGACAGACAGACAGAGTCAGACTGATAAATAGATAGATAGATAGATAGATAGATAGATAGATAGAGTCAGACTGGTAAATAGATAGATAGAGAGATAGATAGATAGACAGACAGACAGACAGAGTCAGAAAGATAGATAGATACTAGATAGATAGATACGGATCGATTGATAGATCTATATTTACCATATCATGACATTACTGCCTCAATCTGCTTCACTCAACATGCTCTTAAGTGTTTATGCATTAGCGGAAGGGCATTATGACTATTTTATGGCTCTTCCGTAGGTAAACACGAAGTGAAAATCTTGACTGTGCATTTCTGTAGCGTTTGCAGCTCTCTTTCCTCCTCAGCTGCACAAACGCATGAAACCGGAAGCTTCGTGCCCATTCAAACTGAGGTGCAGACTGAACATTGAATGGTTTAAAGTCGACACAGCACATAAAAAATGTGGCATTCATACATGAGATGGTGAAGTCTATGTGAAAGGCTGTGAAATGCACTGTTGAGGACTGTAAGGCAGCAATGCTTTGATTAAATGATATGGGGAGAGAACAACACATTGAGCTCTAAAGCTACTGTTTTGTAACAGTATTTTTGTCACTGGTAGTACTCACACTGTAAACAACGTCAACAAGGCCTGCTCTGATCGGCCTGACGGGGGCGCTAAAACGGTGAAAAGTTAGAAATCGCTCTGAACTCCTTTAACCATTAGGCGTAGGCTCAAGAGTGTTATAACGAAATGCATCCCTCACATTTTTAGGTATTTTGGATTTTTTGTAAAAACTACTTTTGCGAACTAGTCCTAGGTTTTTGGCCCGATCGGAACCAAACAAGTGCAGCAAGATTCTCTGAATTGTCAATAATTATCCCCAAAAAGTTGAAATTTCGATTCACAGTCTTTAAGGGTCTTTATAACTTGTCAACGGAATGAGATATTTTTCACCAAACTCGGCACACCTATGTAAGAGTTAATTCTGTGGTCATGTGAAAAAGCATGCGGCGACTGGAGTCTTGGTGGCGCTATTATGGTTATAACTATGCAACCCTAAGTCCGATTGACTTGAAAATTGGCTGCGGTGTCTTTGTCCAAGGTGCCAAGACTGCCTTTGAGGACATTTGTGTATCTCGAAGAATGCGGCCGGTGGCGGCCAATGAAGTTTGAGCAGCTTTCAGACAAGGTTAACGGAGGCCGATCGGAACGAAACTCGCTGGGCCTGTTTCACTCACAACCCTAGACGCCTGTGAGAAACTCAAAAGAAATCAGCCACCGGGGGGCGTTTTTCATGCGCGTAAAAAATTGTATACCATGTGATTTTTGGCACATGCCCACGACATTCATACCGCATGCTGGAGCTCCTCATTCTGAGCAACTTTGATTCTAGGATCGCCGCTGTCAATCGAATCGTTTGTTAAATATTAGAGATTATTTCAAAAGTATTTTGGCTCAACCTCAATAAAACCACTGCGGCACAATTCTCGGGACTCTCTCGGTCAATAATGATCAACATTTTTTTTTTTTTTACTTTGGCCTTTGGATATAGCTGGGTCATTTAGAAAATAGGCATGGCCAAGTCCACCCAAAAGCCTATCATTCCTAAACGAAAACTCGAAACTACACGAAAATAGGTGAGAACATGCGACATATGATTCTAAACAAGCATGCAAACTGTTATGGAGATCAGACCATAGGTGGCGCTATAACTGTTAAAAAGCTTTAGAAACCATATATTTCCTGTGATTAATTGCCTGTATTGGCTGTAAATGGTCTTTTATAAAGTGGTTACATGCTTGCTAAATAAAACATAATACATTTTTGCACATTGGCTTAAAGGCCTTAAAGTTCTTGAACCCCGGAAATTTCTGCTCGCGGCTATATTTTTTATTTATTATTTTACTTTTGAATGATAACTTCGGGGCTTTATTTCAGAAAATATTGATTAATCAGCATATCATGTAATATCATGTAAGCCCTATAGTTTATACTAATGTGAAAATAGTGCATCAGAATTGAAAAGGAAGACACTAAACACGGATAACATGAAAAACGTTCCCCATTATAAACCAGAGTGCAAAGATGATAGCTGATGAGTTTGCACTTATTAATGCATGAGTTTAAATCGGACACAGGCATCAGTGAGACGGGGGAAATCAATACATCAAGAGAGGACATGGCCTTTGGGGCCTGCCAGAAACTCCCTCTAAAATCTCAGTCTGCGTGAAGTGTAAATGCAAGATACAAGAACAAGGACTGACATAGGACAGGAGGGAAATTATAAAATGTGTGGCAGTATTTTAGAAATAGAAATTTTGCAACAATGTAAAAGTCTTTAATGCCACTTTTGACCATGACTTAAACTTTATACTCGTTTAATACTTGGTGAATATAGCATTACTTCTTTAAAGAAATCTTACAAACCACAAATGTTTAACGGTATAGTGTATAATGTAACATGCAGCCATGAACGACTTATTTTGTCATTTGGAAACTGCTGTGCATGTTTTTCATAGGCAATGCATTATAGTATGCATGAGGGAGAATATTATCTCAGGGGAGTGTCTCCATATAAGTGATTAAAACTCAGCGCAGCTCTTAATTTAATGGCCTTGTTGCTGAAACAGCATTATGGTCTATGAGTATGATATATCAAACAGGGATTACTTATAGATGTCTTGAGTTCTTAGTTTTGTTTTGGTGGGGGGAACATTTTGCCTGCAATTATTTATGCAGCCAGAAAAGTATGTCTCAAGATTTAGGTGATACGTAAATGTGAGACATACATGCATATTAATATGCCTTGTATAAATCCAAAGCAAAACAGAAATGGATAGTTGTTAATAACGACAAACTTCTCAACAGAAACTTCGAGATTACTTGAGAATTTTATCATTATTCAATAATTCTCATCAGCATTTCTCTTTGGTTCTCCGGTAATATTCTATTAATAAATCACATTTCCTGCATTCAATAAGAAGTGTCAGCATATTGCATCATGGAATGGTGCACCTGCACATCTCGCTGCGGAGGAATTAATAGAAAACTGTAAATAATATAAATGAGATATGTCTAAAAACAAGGACAGATCTAGGTGAAAAAGAGCTTCAATGACTGTATGGATTCAGTCCAATTAAGTTCTGAATAGAATAACTTCGATGTGTCAATATCTTCTTGTTGAAGATATTGTTGAAGAATTGCTGACCGGATTCTAAAGTTGCATATTTGCATACTAATACATACTCACATTCTGTATGCTACTGTTCAAAAAATTTTTTTGTGGAAGTAATCTCACTAGGGCTGCATTTATTTATTTATCTATCAAAAATTACAGTAAAATCAGTAATATTATTTGAATATATTTTCTATTTGAATATACTTTAAAATGTATTCCTGTGATGCAAAGCTGATTTTTTAGCATCATTACTCCAGTCTTCAGTGTCACATGATCCTTCAGAAATCTTTCTAATATTCTAATTTGCTGTTATAATAAGAATAATGTCTCATTATGATCAATGTTGAAAACACTTGTGCTGCTTAATATTTTTTGTGAAAACCATGATCATTTTTTTTTCAGGATTCTTTGATAAATAAAAAGTTCAATATAACACCAATTATTTGAAATATAAATCTTTTGTAGCATTATAAATTTCGCTTATGACCAATTGAATGCATCCTTGTTAAATAAAAGTATTAATTCCTTTTAATTTTTTTTTGAATAGTTGGTTAGGGCACTAACTCTGTTTAACTCCTAACCTGACACGATTTTATATAGTTTATATGGCATTTCAGTACACTCACTCACAGCCTCATGTAATCGTATTCATGAAGGCACATATTGTATTCTTCAAAGCCATACTGCCATCTGTTGGGCTCACAATACAAAGTAGAGGAAAAAAACTGAGTTCAGCTGGACTTTGACCACTTGGGATTCTGTTCTGGTTTCTTCCTCTGATCTATTCTGAATTTTTGCCACCTCTGGCATCTCTTTCTTTCCTGGTCCAGTGTTTCATGTTTGCACATTCTTCAAACACACGTTAGTATTCTTTCTAGTGGTGGCCCATCCGAGGAGGCAGAGACTGAGCCTCCTCAAAAATGTATTTACATTAAATCCACCCAAAATGTGCTCAACAAACCTAAATGGGTAACCATAGGGTCAACTCCTAATTAAATAGGTTCATTTTAATTATCCATGTCATAACATGTACATGGAAAATGATTGTGCTTATTTAATTCATTGGTTTTAGTGGATTATACCAAATGAGAAGTAGAGCTTCTCACTGCTCATAATCCTTTAATTTCACTAACAGTAAGTAAGTGGAAGTAAGTCCTTCCTAAATGCTGGCTCACAAAAACATTTAATGATTATAATACTCTTCTTCAGAGGCTTTAATGAGAAAGTAGTTTTAACAACCTCAAACTTCATTTCACTTGCACAAAGTTTGGAGGCTGTCTGGACTGGAGTCCCAAATGGTTTGTTTCAATAGGTGAAGCAGAATCACATTTCTGCATCCGATTCAGCAGTTTGATATTTTAGTCACTGGTCCAGGGAGCCCCACCCAAAAAATGTATACAAATGTACTTTGCCTTTATATCTTTAAAAAATCTACATAACTAAAATCTTATTTTAGTTGCACACAGATTGACTGCAGAAATTAGATAAAGAGAAGTGAGGAACCAAAGGATTGTCTGAATATAGAAATAGAAACTTGACGACACAACAGGCTGCTAAAAAA